TGGTTTCCCAGCACCCGTTGTAGGGGTACGTCTGGATCCCTAAAAGCCCCCGGGGGGGGGGGGGGGGGGGGGGGGTGTACTCATAGTCGTGCATGCCGTAGTCGTTTGACCATTGACCTCGCATCCCTACAAAGCCGGGACGGAGCACGCCGGGTTCTCACCGGACCAGGCTCTCACATCACCAAGCGCGAAGCGCCGTGAGGTATTTGGCGAGTCGCATGAAGGGTGAGCTGCATCCTGCTAAGGGTGTTCGGCATCTTGTGCTTACTTCCTTGCGTACGGATGACAGCTGCGTATGACTTAATTTATTTTCTGGTGCTTTCACTTCCAGAGACAGTTGTAAGCACTGTGTAACTGCCTCGAGGAAGCTTGACCATTTTAACACAACGTGGTGCGATCATCCCCCGTTGCGCGGAGTGAGGTTTCTCGACCCCGCACAACATGATCTACTCGCCCACCATTATGGTTACCGCCAAAAAAAAACCGAGGTAAAAAAAAAAACGGTAACCTGGTTGCCGAGTTCACGAAGTGAATTGGCTTGTTTTACAACGTGGTTGCCAAGCGACGAAAACCCAATCCCGATGGCAAACACCGAGGGGGGGGCTTGTTTTACAACGTCGTTGCCAAGCGACGAAAACCCAAACCCCGATGGCAAACACCGGAGGGGGCGGCTTGTTTTACAAGGTCGTTGCCAAGGGACGAAAACCCCAACCCCGATGGCAAACCCCGTAGGGAGGGAGGGGCACGGGGGGGGGGGGGTACGAAGAAGCTGACGGTTTGAAGCTGAGAGAAGGCGGTACCAGCTCTTCCGATACCAAGGGGGCACAGTTGCACGGGAGATGGTGGGTCTTACTCTGGGTGGTGGGAAAGTCATAGCTGCGTGGGATCGGCCTCTGCAGAGACCACCCTGCACTCGCGTCAGTGGACGCCAAGACCTGGATATTGCGCGCCTGACCTGGTTCTCTCATGAGATACGTACGTAACCCCGAGGTATGACTGCCGGGGGGTATAGGAGGTGTACCTCGAGCCACGCCATGAGAAGCTGAGTTTTCCCGAACCACCAAGTTACGATTCAACAATTTCCATCCCAAGACGATGGTGGCAAAAGTTATCGGTCGCGAGGCCATCTCCGATTATAAGTCAATATAGGATTTATAGGGGAGCACCAGCAGTACCACCCGGATAGGCACGGGTTGTTCGCATCATGCGCACCTCATGAAACCGCGTTTATTCTACAGTAGAACGACTGCATGCTTCTGTACCTCGGGAAGACTCATGGCAGCCAAGTATCTTGGGGTTCGATTGACAACATCCCAAGGGAGGCCATTGCGCTGGCCTACTCCCGCTTCGAGAAGATCGGGCTTCACGCAAAGGAGCCAACCTAGAACCGACCGCGAGTTTGTGACTGGTATGTAGCAAGAAGCGCTCCACCGGTGCCCCGCGCCAACCAACGCCTTGCCAAACTAGACGCTTGCCAGTAGCGAGGGAAATCTACCATCGGGCAACAGACTTGAGTCAGTCTGAGCGGCGGTGTACACCACATCTACAACGCCCACCCGCCGCAGAAAGTCTCCTGTGCTTTTATCTTCCTGCCTATTGCATAGGTGTCAATTTCGTCACTCACTGCTAACTCCCGGAACAAAGAACCCAAGGCGAAAAGTCGTTCACAGGATAGCCCACTACCTGGACTGCTATGTAACACCCGCAACGCAACGTAAATGTATCGAATCGCGAAAAAAACAGTGGTTGACGGTCCGGTCTGCACCTCGTCCGGGAGAACGATACCGCCCGCCGTCCTCGACACGGCCGCGAACATCTTGACGAGGATGTAGTTGCCGACGGGCTGGAGAGGCTTGTCGATCACGTCGTCTTCCAGGGTGATCACCAGGGAGGACATCGACGGGCTGATTTGATTGGTTAGATCCAGAAAAAAACAAAAAGGTGAGAGAGAGGGGATCAGACAAGGCGGAAGCATGGGGTCGCCAAAACAAGAAAAAGGGGATAGGGGTAACAGGGTCGCAACGATCAGTAGAAGATGCCACCTACGGTGCAACCATCGTCTACACCTAAGGCATGCGTATTGACAATTTTCACGAAATTTCCCCGCAAAAACCGATGATGAGCAAACTCTCAGGAATGCCCTCGAGACTGACGGTCAGGGAGGCCTTGGCCGGCTTGATGGTGCGTCAACAAAACACTGCTTGTACCTACGCCTCTAGCTCTACGGGGCACTCTCCGGCATCGATGTCCGTTCCTTCGCCAAGACATAAGATGATAGGATCGATTTTCCTTGTTCTCAAAACACGCATCTCCACAGCACGAAGAACTACAGAGACACCAGGAGCTAAGCGCAGCTATTGTGGATGGGTGCTGGGGAAGCCAAAACACGAGGGCTCAGTCGCACCCACGAAGGGCACTGCCCAACCTACACTGCTGTTCCACACTCTGCCGGGTCTAGAGGTCCAGATTCGGGGCAGCAGCCCTCAGCTGCTACTACGCAGTGCAGTTTCTCAGTTTCCAGGAGGAATGCATGAAAATGTTCGACTTTTTTACCGTCTACATGTAGTCGCGAGCAACGACTACTTCGTCCAACACAAAGCCTGGCACATACACAAGAGAGAAGCGCGCATGCTGGAACAACCGTTTGTTACTACTAACATCGCTTTTTATGGCAGCACAATGCTGCACAAAAAGTTGCATTTCTGCAACTTTTCTTGCAGCTTTGCAAATGTATGCTCAGTACGGGAGCTAAAAGTTGCACGAAGAGTTCTGCAATTTTTTTTCGGGAGCGACAAGCTGCAATGTGTCCGAAAATTTTTGCAGCTTTTCTCGAGTCGGGAAGGGGCGAGAAAAGCTGCACGGCGGAAACAATACCGGTTCACGTCAAGCTGCTACCCCTACCGCACACGTAGACCCTCTCCAGCATCGATTGTGGGGAGTGATCACCAATATCTCGACGAATACTTAACGAGTTGCCTCATGAATGGTATCTGGAAGGAGGTGATGCCGTGGGCTGTTGGGTAATGCCAAGGTTTGGGACCGTGAGGTGCCGAATGCGCCGAGAAGAAAAGTTTGTGCTGCGCACAACCGTCTACGGCCGCGAGCGGTTACTTCAAGCTCCATGTTTTTGACCGCCACGGGTTTGGTTATCCACCGATATCTTTCCGAAGGAGGAAGCAACAGCAATAGCAAGGCCGCTCGGTGGGAGGTAGCTCTCTGCTCCATCTTTCATGCCCAAGGTTTGTTGTCGTGGGGTATCGTGCGCATCGAGAATTTTTTTTGATCGACCCCAAAGTACCCACATCAGAGAGCAGTTGGTTCAAGTTCGCAGGGATTGTGGCGCATGGGTTGGTTTTTCAGCGATAACTTTTCGAAGGAGAAGGCAACAGCAACAGCAATGCCACCCCGAGGGAGCTAGCTCTACCCAGCATCTTTCTGGTACCAGGTTAGATGCCTTGGGGTATCGTGAGTGTGGAGAAAAAAGGATGCAACTACCCTCTCCCGCACGCATTGACCGGTTCTTTCGTGGTGCAATATGAAAGGCGCCAGCCTTTCTCCGTTGCTAAAAAAAGAAAAGATCACGCCTTCGCATTCCGTCAGTCCCGTGCACAAAACTTTCTTCGTCCCATAAAGAGCGTGCATCAAATGTTCCATTGACAAAGTTTGGAGGAAAAGCTGCAGGAAAAACAGCTTTTCTTGCAACATTGTGCTGCCATCAAAAGCGGTGTAAATGCACTGCTGTCGATTGTACCCATGCAGAGGTGCTTCGTATTATTCTGCAAAGTTTTCTATTTTCTACCGTTGCTTGTCTCTGAAAACGGGACAGCTGTCGCGTTAGTCCACGCTCGACAGTGCACAATAGAAGTTTCACCGATCTCCTCATGTGCGCGCGCGTACGTGTCTCAAAGCTTCAATCCACCGGTGCAACCGGTGTTTCATGATCTTTACCAAAGAACGGGATACCTTTGTATTATAGTGTATGGAACAACGTGCTGGCATCTATACTTGTAATAGTAATTCAAGTAACCATCGGCACCACTTAGCAAGCACGTCACAAGCGCAGCAACAACTGAGAGCAGCAGCAGTGCCTCCTAGAGAAAATCGCGAGACCTCTCTACTGAAACTAGCTGGAAGAGTGTTTCCCTGCTTACTGGAGACTTTTTGCTGTGGTTATCGGCCCTACACGCCTACACGGCGGGACACTGCGAGGTACGCGGGATACCCTGAACCGCTCGCACCGGAACACACGTGTTGTGTAATGTGGCTTGTTGGCGCATCTACGTGTATTGGACCGGAATAGCAAGAATGGATAAACACTTCTTATTTGAATGCCGACAAAGCGGCAGGGTATGCCGGAGACATGGGTGGGAGAGCGAGTTGGAAGACCGGTGAGTTGTAGGCGTTGCGTGTGCTTACAGCAGTGCTGCTGTATTCAACAACGGCACGACACATGTACGGCGTTCAGCCCGTGTTGCACACACAATACCGCTGCGCCTAGAAGCTACGTGCCAAAAAGCGATGGAACTGCGTCAATGTTAACTGCTTGTGGCTGATACGTGTCAACCACGACGTCGGCTACTCCCCGCGCCCCATCTCTCTAGCTCACCTAGTGGCTCTTCGCGCCACTGCTCTTCCGGAGTGCTGCTGCTGCTGGTTGGTGGATCGTGAGGAGGCTGATCGAGGCAGTACACCGAAGTTCAACGACGGTGCCAGAAAGGCACCGCTCGAAGCAAGCATTGCCGCGCAAGATGCCGCGAATGACACTGCAGAGGACCTCATGTTAAGTGACGAAGATTTCTCTCCACCCTTTGAGGCTCCTTTCCTGCTCCTAGCTGTGGTTGATGTGGTGCTGCGTCTATCTCTTGTTTTCCTGTGTTTCCCACCGGGGACTTCGCGAATGGACACACGATTTTTGCACGTGTCGTGGAGTATCGTACGCAGACCCCCCGAGAGCCAGCCACTTCTCCAGCCGAAGCCTGGCGAAACACCGCCCCTTTCGGCCCCCTCTCGCCCTCCGTAGGCGGTCACTCGACACCTGGAATCGCCGCTGGCCAGTCGCCAAGCATGCCTCCGAAAGGTCGGGGGGCAGCAGCGGCAAAAAAAGGCAAAGGGAAGGCCGCTGCTGTGAAAAGTCACAGCATCCTGTCCTTCTTTTCACCTCCTCCGCCGACCCAGCCGCCGGTTGCTCCATCGCCGACAACAACACCATCGGCGCCGACCGGAAGCAGCACGGTCGCAGCAGAATCACTGGCCCTCTCGGGTCTCGTGGATCTCACGGGTGACAGCAGAAGCAGCAGCACCGGGAAGACCGATTCTAAGCCTAGCACATGCGGCGCAACCAGCGCAGGATTCACACCGACAGCCTTGGATCCAGCCGCACCCACCGCTGCTGTCGGCACAAGCAGCAACAGCTTCGGCACTAGCAGCAGCGGCAGCGGGGCTTCCCCGCCTGGCGGCATATCTTCTTCTCGTCCCGACGGCCAGGGAATGAAAGGCGGCCGTGTCGGCTTCGTGCGTGCTAGCTCGTTGTCACACACGGGCAGCGCCGCAGCAGCACCGCGCGGAGGATCGCGGGCATCGTCAAGGACGACGGCAACAAACGCCGACTGTAACGCGCTTACTGCTTCCGCCACTACTGCTTCAGCCGCTGCCGCTTCGACTGCTGTTGCGGGGAACGGAGGAGCAGCGGGGTCTACGCCACCAAAGACAACATCGTCATGGGGGAGCCTTGGGCGCGGAGCCGGGAGGGGTGGACGGCAGCAGCGATTCCTGCTTTCGGACAACGGGCGGCCCCCAAGGGGCAGCACCAAGATAATCGCCCTGCCGCTCCACGTCGTGGGCCTCCAGTTCCGCCAAAACCAGACCGACGACGCTTGGTCTTCGCCACGGAAGTCGAGCGCAACAACAGCGGCAAGCTCCCCGTCACCTCACGGAGAACAGCCGGCCGCTCCCGCAGCGTGCACGAACGATGACATCGGCAGTAACACGGTCTTGGAGCTCGAGCGCGAGCCCTACAACAGCCACGACCGCAACGCGATCAAGGTGCTCCTTCCTGCGAAACCGCAGACCCCGCCACCGCCGCTGCTGCCGGGTTCCCAGCCCTCCGCCCCGTCCCGCTTCCTCGGGTATATCCCAGGCAGAATCGCCGTGCTGCTGGCGCCGGTGGTGGACGCTTCGCCCGACCCTGTCGCACGGGTGACCCTCAAGACCGTCGAAGAGGAGGGGGGAGAAGCAGCGGGTGGAGGGACACGAAATACCTTGCCGGCGCTGCTGGAAGTGCACCCGCTGGATGGTGCTGGCCGGGAGCCGTTTTCCAGCTTGATGGAGAAGGTGAGACGATTGAGGCGGTGTCAATGTTGCTGTATTTTAGCGTACAGGGGGAGAGGATAGCGAAGCAGGGCGCACCGTGCTGAGCTTGTCTCGTCGATGAGAATAGAGCATCTTTCTCTCTTCAGGGGATCTGGATCTTCGGCATGTGTACGATTTCATCCCTGAAAAGACGCAGCAGTCGTGGAACTGTTAGTTGACGCTCCAGCTCACTATCCCCCCCCGCCCCCCCCTGTCTTAGCTGTACTGGGGCATAGGAAGTAGGTTGAAAAGGCGGGACGTGATATCGGTAGGATAGATAGACTAGGGACGACACTTTTGAGCCACCTTTGGCAAAGTAGGAAGGAACGATTGGCCATCGGTGATCGGTCCTGTGGGAACAATTTTCCGTCCTCTCGAGGATGCGTGGTCAATGGTCTAAACGCTAAGGCATGCAAAACACAAGAGTACGCCCCCCCCAATCCTCCTCGTCGTAATTTCTCCGGATATGCATCATAGTTAAGGGATGCCGCGAGAAAAGAGGACAAGCGTCAGCACAAGAGGCGCAACGAGGCGAAGGCGAACAAGGACCGCCTGCGATCGAAACAGAAGACGCTCCTTCTCGACTTCGGCAGGTCCTCCGGCGCAACCACTTCCAAAAGCGGTGGCTCGTCTTCCACATCCACGTCCGGCTCTGCCCGAGGGGGAACGATGTTGGAGAGCATGCCCTGGGAGGTTCTGTGGCAGGTGAGTTTGTTTTATCACAGTCGCACGCGCTCCTACTTGCGAGTCTGTTAGGTTCGAGAACATGAATGCCGTTTGTCGTGGCTTTGAGCGTGCCACTAGCGTCTGTTTGCGGTATAGCCCGAGTTGAGCAGGGGTTGGTTCCCCCACAAACGAGTCTTGGCGGTGATGCTGGAGAGCATGCCGTAGGTACGAAGAGCGTAAATCCGTGTTGACAGTACACACCACAACAGTGGATCATATTTCCCCCACTCCGATGAGGGCTTTCCTCACTCACACATTTCCTGTCGAACAGCACCTTTGTTTGTATAGTGCCAAGGCTTCCGCGCTGCGTTTTGTGGGTGTATCGTTGCGGTTCCGAATAGATTTTTCGGCCGGGCGACGTCGTTTTGGTGTTGTTGGTTTGTACAGGTTTCGCCTATCATGAGCGTCTGCGTCCGCTGCACTTTTCCAACTCACACGCCTGCGTGTCCTCACTCTTTTCTTTGTCGCGCCAAGCACACGCACCCCCCATTGTCCTCCCTCCGCCCTTGATATCGGCAACTCGTTCCTCTTCTGCCTCTTTTTTAAAGGTTTTCTGCAGCCCAGGAATATCGTCACGCGAGCTTTTCGGCCCCATCCGCGGAGTCTGCGGCAACTGGATGCGTGCGGTCGATGTCATGCCTTGCGCCGCGGCGCGCCGAGAGGTCGCCAAGGTCTGCGCCGGGGAGCCAACCGAAGCGGGGGACGGCGGTAGAGAACAAGAAGACGAGGGGGGGGGGGAGGGTGGAGAGCCGTCGGAGGCGTCGCCTTCAGGTAGAAAGGCCCGCAGTCGTAGTGGTGGTGGAAAGCGGGAAAGCGGGGGTAAGGCAGGAGGATGCTGGTGGGATACGGTGCGTGCGCGACTGGTACGGGGCGGAGGTTTCACGGAGTGTATGGCCACCGATGTGTTGGCGAGGCTTGAGTGGGCAGCCGAGCAGGAGGAGGACGACCGGAATGGCGATGGAGGCGGCACCGACGAGGGGGGCGCCGCAGTATCGGCGATGGCAACGGGTGATAATGATGGCGGCGGCGGAGGGCAAGCGGGGCAGGGCAACGTGGGTGGCGGCGGCAAGAGACGGCGACGGATGCGCCGACACCTCGACGCGGTGAAGGTTCTCTGTGAAGAGTGGGGTCTACTGGGTGCAGGAGGTGCATGCGCTGCTGCTTCTTCCGGTGGTGGTGCGAGCAGCGGCAGTGGAAATGGCGGCGGGGTTGGGAGCTGGAGCGGGTGGGAGGCCTTCGGTCTGGCCATCGCAACATCGGCTTCGCGGGACCGGCTATCACTCTGCTGCTGGGCGGTCAGGCCGCTCATGGGCGAGGACACCGCCGACAGCAGCAGCGGGGGTGTCCATGGCAGCGGCGGGGTACGGGAGCGACAGCGGCAGGCGCCCTCGTGCCCGGGCCTCCCGAGAGGCGAGGTGATTGAGCTCCTGTGCCTGATGCTATGCGCGTTGCGGTCTTTGGAAGGCGGCGGCGGCGGCGGCGGCGGCGGCGGTGGCGGTGGAGACGGGCTCATGGCACAAGCAGACGGGTCGACGAGGTTGAAGGCTGACCTGTTGGTGTGTGCGAGGGTGCTCGAGAACTGGGATGTCAGGTGAGGAGGGGCCGTTGCACCCGAAGAGATCCGCCTATGTGTCCGTTGGCTGGGAGTGAAAGGAGCCAAACCATGGTTGAGGGCAAGGGACGGGACTTTCTTCCGCTTCAAGCCTCTTGTCCTGTGCATCTATTGCAGTCGTTTCAACGAATCGAAGTGCTGGAACACACCGGGAGGTGGGGTTCCAGGGCCTGCCTTTCCTTCGCCCACCTGGCCGCCGACATTGATCGGTGTTTGATCCGTGTGAGCGTGTTTCCTGTTGAACCACTTGCACCTGATTATTGGTTATTTTTTCTTTCGTTGCGGTTCGTTGATCCTGTGCTGGTAAAGGTTTCAAAAGCCTGGACATCCAGGCGGTGGCGGTGGCGGCGGCGGTGACGGTGGCGGTGGCGGGGGAGCTAGCGGGCTCATCTCGAACCTCACGGCGGAGCAGCGAAGCATCGTGCTCGCAGACGTGAAGCCGGGGGGAGTTCTAACGGTCTTGGCATTCGCGGGGACGGGAAAGACGACGTGCCTCAGGGCGTACGCGCAGGCGCGACCCCATCTCAAAATTCTTTACCTCACGGTAAGTAGCGTGCGACGTGCGCAAGGCCAGTGTCCAGCTAAATAGTGAACAGTCTTGGTGCGCGGTTCTGTCCGCGTATCGTAGGACGATATGCTCGGTGTTCTATCGGTGTATTGGGTCTCGCGAACTTCGTCGTGGTTCTGAGTTTCCCTTTGAAGCATGGTTGCGTGCGGTATGGAGACCTCCATTCTCCCACCCTTGTCGAAATGACCATGACGCCGAGCCCTTGGCGTTGCTACGCCAGCGGTTTTGGAAGGTGGCGGAAAACTGCTCACACCGTTCGCGAAAGCGCCGAAGCACGCTCTCCCTATCGCTGCAGTGAGCTGTGCTGGATATATGCATGCATTCCTCCACACCTGGCCCCGTTTTTGTTTGTGACTCTTGCTGCCGCGGCTGCCTCCACTACATTCCAACGCCGCGCTTGCTTAAACCCTGGCATACGCTATGTACGTCATACTCGTCGTACTTGTGAAAAAGTTTGCTGCTGTCGCTGCCACAACAACAGTACAAACAGGATTGCCACTTTCCGTCACACGCTACATCTGTGTGCAGGTAGTCCCTCACTCCGCGTCAAACCCGTTGCCTTCCGTATTGCCATCTCTTCCCGCCGCCGCAACGTCACGACAAGTTCAACGTCAGCGTTCGTGAGGAGGCCGAGAAGACTTTCCCCCCCCACGTGGCGTGCAAGGGCGTTCACCAGCTCGCGTTTCGGTTCGTGGGCCGGCGGTTTCAGTCCAAGCTCAAGCCGGACCTGAGGGAGTCGGACGTGCAGGCGTTTCTGAACGACAGGCTGGGGAAGGACGTAAGCGTTCACAGTCACGCCTAGGCTGTTTTTCGTCTTATTTTTTTCAATAGAGTTTTACACAATGTGTTCGTGTGTTTTTTTTTCTGTGTTAGGTCGTATGTGCTCTGTTTCCGTTGATTCATGGGTGCTGCCGAATTACGTATAGTTGTACTGTTGTTGTTGTTGGTGCTGCTGCTGCATTGCCGCGGTCTTGGATCCCCTGTTGCGGTAGTTCTAGGCCAATCTAGCGCAGTCAGCGCACGAGACAGACGATGCCGCACCCGGTCTATGGTGGTCAGTCACTTTCTAGCTACTAGGTTCGTTCCAAAACAGCCACGGGTACAAGGCCCGGTGTGTCCTGTAGTGATTGGTTCGAACTGCCAACGACGATTGTCTTATCCTGTTTTCTCCGTCACTTGGTTTGGTGTTGCAGGAGATTGTCTAAACTTCGCCACAGCGATTCTGATCTTGGCCACACCGGCAGCCTTACCATGAAACAACTGGTTATGGCGGCAATGCTTGCGACCTTCTTATCCCCAGGCTCTTTGTCCTCATCTGTGTACGGTGTCTTATTTTCCGGTACCTCGCAGAAGAAGATCAACCTCGCCACCGCGGCGCGGGTCCTGGCCACCCTGAATGCCTTCTTTTCATCGGACTCCCCCGCCCTGTCAGCGTCCCATGTCATCGCCCCGCCGCCTGAGGTGCTTTTCCAGCAGCAGCAGCAGCAGCAACAGCAGCCACGACGTCAACAACAGCGACAAGAGCAGCTTGACCATGAACCCGGCAGTGCCGACGAAAGCGATGCGGAGGACAGCGGAAGCGACGATGATAGTGACGATGATGTTGATGAAAGTGACCTCTCCCGCCAGTCGCCCCAACCAGCAGCAGCAGCACCGTCTTCGTCGTCGCCGACGGTTGCTGCTTGCGCCCAGGGAGGAGCTTCGACGCAGCCCCCCCCCCCCGGGCCCTCAAGGAAACGTCGTCGGCGAGCCCCCTCTCCTGTGGAGGACGCCACCGTGCTGGAGTGGGCGGCGATGGCTTGGACAGAGATGCAATCCACGGGACCCCCAGGGGGGGCTGGGTGGGGTGGGGGCGACGGAGAAGGAGCGGCAGCAGCGTCGCTCGGGATGACCCACGCGGGCTACCTGAAGCTGTTCCAGCTGTCGCGGCCCTGCCTGGGCCGGACGTATGACGTCATCATGCTGGACGAGGCGCAGGACTCGAACCCCTGCATCGCGAGCATCGTGCTGAGAGAGACGCGCTGCGCCAGGATTCTGGTGGGGGACAGCCATCAGGTACAAGGACGAGAGAGAGAACGAGAGCGAGAGAGACAGAGAGAGAGAGAGAGAGAGAGAGAGAGAGAGAGAGAGAGAGAGAGAGAGAGAGAGAGATGTTGTTGGCGCTTGCCGTAGGTATTGGTGTTGGTTGTTGCTCTCTCTTGGTGCAACTGGCTGGCCTGTATCTGTTGCTCCGCACCTGACTGGCAAGGGTCGTGTCCGGGCTTGACACTGTGCTTCGTTTGTTGTTTTCGTGTGCACTAGTTTTTGATGTTCATCTGCACCAAACTCATGTGAGTGTGCCAACGGGTTTGTTGCACCGAAAAGCCGGATTCTCAAACGCAACAGGACTTCTTAGACCTTCTGGTAACCGCTTGGTACCCGTTCCGCCTGTCGGCTTCTTGGAGCGTCTTCGGCTTTGTGGACGGCTAGGGACCCGCGTGCAGAGTTTCCCTTGAAGAGTACTCGCAGAAAAATGCAGTTTTCATGATGAACGGCGGCCTGCAATCCCCGCCTTTCATTCTGCTGCGTTTCCATCAGAAGTCGAATTTCACCGTTATTTTCGTCACCGAACAGCCTGACCTATCCCGTACCATGCATTTCGGACGTCACGTCTCGTGAGGTGTGGGCATTGAGATAACCCGACCAACAACGATTGATTACTTTTCGATGCCTTCCCTTTTCGTCTCACCTCCCCCTTCTGTTATGAAGGCTATCTACGGTTTCATCGGAGCAGAGGACCACCTAAAGCGAGTGGAAGGAGGGAAGATTCAACACCTCACTCAGGTGAATGACTTGTGTTAATGCTTCGATTTGGCGTATCAAGTGCTGGAGCTCTCGCGAAACGTGATGAATCGAAAAGAGGAGCAGGAGTTGGTTCGCGATTCATATGTTCAAGTCTCATCGTGCGTGTCGTGCTTCCTGTGTGCTCGAAGATTGACAGGGTGCATCATGTTTTCGATGGGACATACGGCCATTCATGGCTCCCTCAGGCGGAGGTTGGAGGATTGACGTGGCACGTGGACATTAACTCGTTAACTCGTTACGTTGGCACTGATAAACGCAAGATGGCGTTGTATATCCCTTAAGTAGATCGGTTTCGAACACTGCTCTGTTGTTGCGTGCATGACACAGGAAAGTATGTATCACGATTTCACCACACGCCCAGGCAGGTTGAACAACCGATGTACGTTGTGCTGGACTAGAACCTCTTGCACGCTTGCTTGTTTCGCTCGCTGTGGACAGGTGTTCCGGTTTGACCAGTCGATCGCTCACGTGGCCAACAGTCTCGTGGGCCCCCTGAAGAGGGAAACGAGGCCCTTGCTTGGCTGCGCCGGGAAGCAGGGCAAGGTGATTTCAATATTTTGCGTACACCATCGAAATCCTCACCTCCTCCATGCACGTACACATGCTCTGGGCACATTGTTGAGAGATTTCGTGGAATTCATGGCCGACTCTTACGCTTCTAACCCTCCTTCGCTGTTTCAACCCTTGCGTCGTTCGTTGGTTTCTCTATTGGTTGTAGGCGTCGTTGAAGTCTGCTCCCTTTTGGCTCTGTGTGCGCCTTGCGAGTTTGTTCTGGGGGATTCCCTTCGGAGAATGTTGCGTTTGACACCAAGAACTCGGGAAAGAAATACTTGCTTGTTTCGTTCTTGTCGTGCACACCTCTTTTGCGATTGATATTTTTGGGTGTGCCTGGTGCGATAGGTGCTCGCTCAATGGTTGTCTGCTTTCAGCATGCCCAGAACTGGGGCTGAATTTGCTCGAGTCTTGTTGTGTTTGTGAAGACGTTGGTAGGGGTTCTATACATGATGTGATGTGATCGGTGCCATTTCAAGACTGGCTGGACGCACAGTAGTAGGTTCGTCGTTCGTGGTGACGAAATTTCGCATCATTCTTCTCTTTCGGATTGTCCGTTCATGCATCGAACATTGAGTGCCTCGTTCGTTCACGCAACATTTCGTCTCTGTCTTCCAACGATTCACTCGTCCGCGACTCGCATGGCGCAGCCTGTTCCTGTCTATAACACGAGTGTTTTTTTTTGTGCTTCGTTGGCGCTCAATTTTGGTGTGTCCCGTGTGTGAACTCCGCGTCTGCCCAACAGGTAGTGCTTTCAGGTGGGACGGGGCTGGAAGTGTGGCAGGACCAGGAGCGCACAGTGAAGCGGCCGATCGCGTTCCTCGCAAGGTTTGTCTCGCTACGAGGCAGTATGTCCTCTCTTATTTCCACTCGTTTTTGCGTCGCCCCTCGCACTGGCGGTCGTCGAATCCGGCCTCGAGACATGGTTTCGTTGTTTTTGGGCTAACTCGTTGTTGTTTGTTTCTCGATGTGTCGTCTGCCTGTGCTCCAGAACGGTGTCTACCCTTGTGCACGCCGCGATGTGGGCCAGGTCCCGAGGTGAAAAGGTTGCCTGGGTGGGCGGTGCGCAGGCCTACAGCCTGGAGGTGAGTAGGGCGGGGCAAGCTGTCGCTATTTTGTACCATCACCATTTCACCATTACCGGTGACTTCGTTAGCGGTTCCAACAAGAACGACAACAAACGAAAACGAAAGCAACAGAACAACAACGTCTATACCCCAAACGACAACAGACGTTTCATGGCCGTTGGCGGCCAGTCTGAGGTTGTTCGTCATTCCTTGCGTTACCGTCACTCCTAACGCGTTCGAGCCAGTTCCCAAGCTCTACCGAGCTTGGGTCTCTATTGTCGGGCAAGGCGTTTTTTTTTTGTCCGTGCCATTGTTATTCGCGTAGCCCTCCCCTGTTTACCGACTGGGTCTCAGAAAGCCAATCTCACTACACGCTGCGACCCGCGCGGAACTGGGAACATTTCTGTGTAGCGGAGATGAGTTGATTCGATTAATGCGGAGGCGGCGAATTCCCGAGACCACAACACTCTTTTGTTCCGACAGCAACGACAGCAACAAACGCAACAGCAGTTGCGGGTGGTTGCAGCTTGACGGTCTCCAGACCGACCACGGAGGATGTGTCCGTCGTGGCCAACGACGCTTAAAGTTCGACCATTCACAGCACACCATCGTCGCCGATGGGAGTGCTCTGGAAACCGTCTCACCGTGGGCGGTGGAACTCGTACCTTTTTGAGGTGTGTGATTAGCTTGGCGGGCACAAGGTTCCTCCGCAACGTTTGAGAAACGGGTTTATTGCGGCCAACGACAGCCGAGCGAGCTCTCGTTATTCGTACCGCATCCTGCGACACGAACGCCAGGCGATCGAAGACATGTGCCTTATGGCCATGGGAAGGTCGTCGGAGGTGAAGCACGCCCTGCTCAAGAAGCTCAAGACCATCAAGAAGCTCGTTCGCTTTATTCAAGAGTCTGGAGACCGGCAGTGGGCCAACCGGGTGAGGAGCGGGTACCACGCGGCTTCATGCGTAGCAATCGATCTCGTTTCGCCAGAAACAGATACCAAGGACTGATGGGTCATCGTTGAATGCTGTGCGGAGGAAAGCGTTGTTGCTGTGGATGTTGGAGGAGGACAGGTATGCATATGACGAGAGATGATACGGGCGTGCTTTGTTCGCTTTGGCCTACTAGGAACAAGACTTGTCTGCTGAACGGAGCTCTACTGAGCAAGTACTTCACCTAAGCCAACGACCTTTACGACAGGATGCGTAAATACCGCATCCCCTGTACCAAAATGCTCCGTCCTCTCGAGGACGCGTGGTCAATGGTCTAACCGCTAAGGCATGCAAAGCATAAGAGTACGCCCCCTGTACCAATTTCCAAAGCTCTTTTTCCCTGCATCAATAGCACTGTTGGTGCGGAAAATGGAATTTTTGGAACCGTGTCGTCGAGGGCTTTCCGAAGACGCGTCAAACGATGTTGCCATCCTCTTTGCCATGGAGAAATCGAGCTTTAGCGATCCGTCCAGGGTGGTATTGCGTCTCTGGTAACCTACGGTATATCTCTTCTCCGCATTGACGAAGCACTCTCATAAGGCAAAATACAGATTTGGAGTAAATCATTTGGGGTTTTGAGGTTCGCTGTGCTCTTCGAGTCAACACACGCCAGCTGTATGACCCGTTGAGGTTGGGAATGTCTAATCTTCAGGTTTACGTTGGTTTCCTTTTTTCACATTGTTGATCTCGATTTCTGTCCGGATATTTTCTTTCGCAGCTGCGGATGCTGGACGGAAAAGATCCTCAAGCGTTGCTGTCAGAGCTTCGAGAGATCCAGCGCAAGCAGGTTCATCCCCGCGAGGCTGATACTCTGTTGAGCACCGTCCACAAGGCCAAGGTGGTTTATTTTCTCATTGTTCACATGCTGCCTGTGGAATTTCGTTGGAGTGGCTCGATGCGAAGTCCTCGAAAAGCCCATTTGTAGGTTTGCCGAGCCCATGGATTAACTTCTTGCGTGGTTTTTCGTTTCCATTGTTCAAGGGGTGGCGGCGTTGGTCTGTTTGGAGGCTGGGAGTAAAGGCGGCAAAGAGGACAGATTAGGCGCCACAAGCATGTAGAAGAAGGGGTGGTTGTGGTTGGTAGTAGAAGGGTCTTTCTTTCGGCTTTGGTACCCTTCAGGCGAAGAAAGCGTTGATGGGTCGGCCGCTCTGCTTGCTATTTATGAGATACCTCAACGGCACGCGTGCGGTCTATTTCCTTGGTGATTCCCAGTATAGCACCAGATTGTACACGGGCGACAACACGAATCCATTCAGCGTTTATGGACGTGGCGATACACGCCAATAATTATTTTTTCGAACGTCTCTTCCATTCCCGACCCCTCCGCGGCAATGATGATTTCGATTATGTCGTGACGGCAGGGCTTGGAATTCGATACGGTGGTCTTGGCGGACGACTTCATCGAGGTGGATGATATCCGCTGGACTACCGGGCCTTGTCCGCAGCCGGTGTGGGACTCGGAGGCGGAGAAGGAAGAGGTACGCACGAGCTAGTCGAGTTGTTGGGTTGCCGTTTAGTAGCGGAAATGGTCGTACGCTCCTTGGATCGACGTTCACGGGCCGCCATTGCCAGATCCGAAAAGCGTAGCCTTGGAAATCTCTTGACGGCTTTCCATGCGCGCATCGGTCGGGGTCGCTTGTGGAGCAAATTGGCGATCTAGTTGGTGTGCGATCACTCGTGCATTTGCGGCACTCAGCGATCGGTAGAGCGTTTTCTCCTTGTCTTTATCGATGATGGAGGACAAGGCTATGCATATGTCGTGGGCAGATGCGCACTATGTAGAACACATTCATGCGCGTTATTCCGTTGGTTTCGTGAAGGCAAGGCGATCCACATCGAGAGAGGTAGACGCCGGTGGATGGGCGAACGTGCCCAATACCACGATCGGTACCCAGGGCCGCCCGCATCGAAACTATAGACAACATGTCGTCTTCGGGAAAAATTTGGTCAATTGGTGTTACATCCACCCTCTTTTCATAACGGCCTCCTGACGTGGTATGAATGTTACAGGTGAATATCCTTTACGTTGCTGTCACCCGGGCGAAACGCCGCCTCGTCGTGAACTCCTCCCTGCGCGCCTTTCTCCTCGTCACCGGAGCGTGGAACAGCGTCTCCTTGCGAGGCGTCGCCGGTCGCCGCACCCCCGGGGACGGCTCTTCATCATCCTCTCCCATGGATGAAGCTCGCAGCAGCAGCAGTCACTGCAACCTCTGCGGGAGGCACGCCGATGCTGGCGGCGGAGGAAACCGCGTAGATCTTCTTTCGAGAGCTCAAGCGGCTGATGCACAGCAACTGGTGCGTTATGTGTTCGGGGGGAGCGTTGTAAACGCTGTGACTTGCTTATGTCCAGTACTGATAGATTCCGGAGCAAATACGTTCGCTGTGGGGTCGACTTGTTTCGATGGTTCGATTTGCTTTTGGGGTCGACTTTTGGATGGTTCGATTAGCTTTTCGTACCCGAGGTGTGGGTGCCGGGTTGCGTAGGTACGGCCTTGTGAACGAATTCGCGTTCGTTTTGAGTTATGGAGTTACTGAGTAGTGGTATGCGGTGGAAGACGGGTACACAAATACCAATCACACTGACCTCGGTCTTTCGTTTTAGCCGCTGCAGCATAAGCCGTGGAGTTGTCTTATTTTTTTGCCGCATTGTAGCCGAAAAGCGAAGAGCAGCAAACGCACGTTGGAGTTTCCTTCGGACATTCTCGTTGTCCCTTCGTCTCCCAAGTCTCCGAAGTACAGGAAGTGTGTTGACGGTATCAGTTTCCAGATCAGGTTGTGTGTCAATGGGTGTTCCCGAACACACTCATTCGCCGACTCTCCGAGTCGTTCAAGGGAGGACGTGTGATTTTCTCTTCTTATTCCATTGCTTCACCGCGCCAACATTTGTGCGTACCCTACGATCACGCCAGTCACTAACGAGTTGGGTTGTGTAGCTTGTCACCGGGAAGCCAGAGGAGTGTTGTTTGCCGGAAGCTCGACGTATCACTCACACTTCTCTCTCTCTCCTGCAAACCTCCAGGCAACAAGCGGAAGAGCATTTGCCAACACCTTGATCACCGCAAATCAACGGGCGGGAGGGGGAGGGCTATTGTACGCGGAATCAGGGTCCCTGCGGCCGCTGTGCTGCTGCTGCGTGGAGGGTGTAGGTGGCGGCAGAGCGTCTGCCACCTTCGCCGCCGGCGCCGCTGAAGCAAGTCCTGGTAGTGATGCCGCTGTTGGGACCGAGGACGATAACGCCGGTGCCTTCTATCCCCATTCGCAACTTTCGAGGTGCGCGGGTGTTGCTTGTGCTGTGAGATGTGGGGTCGGTGTACATAGTCCGCACTTGTTGTTTGTTTGGTGTTCGAGGTTCTGTTCACCGGTTGCTTAAGACTTCGCCAGATTCCTCACAGAAAAAAAGCGTTGAAAAACAAATGGCGTTTCGCAAACGAAACGAACAATTTTGATAATAGTGAGGGATCTGCACAAAGCAGCTTTCCATGGGGGGGGAGACAAAAACCCTGACCGAAACGGTGTATTTTGTAACGGTTTAGGCCGTAGATCGAATAGTTTAACTGCGCCCAATCCGAAACCACGACTGTTTTTGGCATAAGAGAACGCCCGGCGAACCAGCTAGGTTCGCGCTCAATCCGTTTGTTGATTGGACATTCACGCGTGGAGAGCGGTGACGGTGCGTCAAAGTATCCAGAAGATGCGGCGATTTGTTCAAATTTTGGGATGCTGCATGCAATGACAAACATACCACGAAAACACCTGGAATCATATCTGGTTGTCTGCTGCTGCTGTCAAGGCATGCAATGGGTTGCTTGTGGCATGCTGTGGCTGTCAGCAGCTGAACACATGGTTCTGCGCTTGTTCACCAAAGAGCTCTGCAGGACGATTGTCCTCAAATCGCACAAATTCAAACACCCCTCTCTCGCGTTACAAAGCCGAAACTGATATATGACGAAGTGATAATCGACGGGGTTTTGCTCAAGCTGGTACGATTTCTCCAATTAGATGTAGAGGGCGATACTCGGCTATAGTAGAAGTGTCACTTCGAGAGTTTTGTTGCGAATGGTTGGCGGTGTTGACGCAACTGTTGCCGATCAGTCTTGTCAACCCTACCGTTGGTTTGATCTGGTCAACCGACTGGGGTTGTCCACCACCAGAACATGACATGAAACACAATCCCCACACCCCCACACCGTCCGGTCTACGTTGGCCGAGCCTAGGTTTCCGTATATAAGGGCTCTCGTGCGAGCGCGGTGAACTGGTGGGGTCATTTGTCGGCGAGCAGGACGCGTTCAAGAACGAGGAACACCATGGTTGTAAACACCATGGTTGTCGGCTCTACGTCCTAAACGGCCGGGTCTGTCTGGAACATCGATCTATTCGTTTGATTCAAACGCTTTCCGTGTCTTCGAGATGCTTGCTGTCTCTCATCTTGTTGGGGCGTCCGCTGGGACCGCGAGCTATGTGCATTTTCAGGCGCGTTCGAACAAGAAACGGCCTAGTTTGATCAGCTTCTAGCCCGACTTGAGTCTGTTTCCTCATTTTTTTGTGAGTCTCTTACCTTGATGTGCGCGTGCAGCAAATGCCTCTTTGGCCGCATTTTGCACACGTGGGGTAGTCCTTGGCAACCTGATGAAGAGCCTGCACGATGTCGCGTTTGTTGTGTAGCCCGCGGTTGTATTGGCACAGATCGAAGTCTTCACAGAGCTTTCGTGATCCAACGTACCCTCTCCGAACGTTCGGGTGGGGGTACAGAAGGCTTGCTGGCTGCATACATGAACGCACGAGGAGTGTTGACTACTGCTCCCTGAGACGGCCGCGCGGTTCCGCATGTTTCGCTGTGGATTCTCCCCACCGCAGTGTGTTTCAGATGTCGGTTGTGTGCACGTGTCGTTCACCGTTGCGAGCTTGGTTGAACCATGACCATTTTCTCGCCACCGGACAAGCAGGCACAACACGAAAGGAAGCGTTCGAGTCTACCGTCATCGAGTGAACCACCAGAACCATAATTGTGGCTCTTCATAGCGTAGAGACCAACCTCTCCCTTCGGGACAAATCGTTGTTTACCTGTTCGGAACCATTTTCGCCACCTCGACATCCAACGCATATGAGCGCTTCGTATTCCCTATCCAACCGTTCGTTTGACCATCTAACGATCTAGTTTTCGTTCAACGGAACATTATTCATTTCAACATGGTCCTTGCCTCAGAACTCAGTCCTCCACGCGCTTCCATAGATTAGGCGTGTCGCCTCTCGTGGTCCAGTAGATATGCCTTCCTAACAGCTAAATCACTTTGACGAACGCACCAGACTGGACTTGAGCCCACTGGCGCTGAATTCAGCTTCATTGTAGCGACGTCCACTGGTAGGGAGCCCCCCGAACACCACTGTGGACGAGCACAAAAACCGACATCTCTCAGATGATGGCTTCCGGGACATACACTATTCATCGATTCATGGTCTAGAAAACCCCGATGCTATCCGATATGCTCACGCTGTATGTGGTATGCGTGTGGAGCTTTCTCGAAGACCGAACAGACGGGGATTCTGCCGCATCTAACCACCACTCCGATAGCGGAGCGGGAAGTCCCGCAAAAACCTTCACTAGCTGAGGCTAGAAAGAAAGCATGCCCCGGCGCGCCCACGAGATCTTCCCACCTTTTCAGCTTCTCGTGCATGTCAGGTACCACTGTAGACTGTACACAAGGTATGCCCAACACGGCGGTTTCATCCATGTGGTGCGAGCGGGGTTATTTTCCCCAATTGGAAGCCGGGATATCGGGGCGGGCTGGCGTACTGCAGGCTGCCCGCCCGTGCATCTCATACCCTCTTCCCAGCTCCAGCGGGGACCAATCGCGTGACGTAATCGATTTTTTTTTCGGCCGCTGCTGTTAACAGTTACGGAGTGCCGGGTCTCCTGTGAGCGCCACGGGAGGATGCGGGCTCCCACGTGTCGTTCATTCCTTGTCTTTTTGACATGGAAAAAATTTTCGTGTCACCGCTGGACCATATGGTGCGTTTGTCAAAGGAAGGACCGGTCGTGTACTGTTATATTGATATTTCCACTGATGGTGGGTCCTTGTATGCTTGTATGTACGAAGCAGGGCAACAGGGGGCTGAATCTCATTCAAGCCTTGCACTTGTAACACTATACCGTTGGGGGATCACTTTATTCATCAAGAGGGAGCAGCACGTGACCTCATTCTTTGGACAATACATTTATCTCGGCAAACCATCTGCGTCGGTTTGGGCCGAACGATGGCTTGTGGCCGTTGAAACTCAGCGCAGGTGGGTTCGCGCAAACTATGTAGTCCTATCTACGATATGACACTGCATGTTCACTGCTCAGTCAGGCTACACGTTGTACTTGCCGGCACAATGCCCCCCGCGCCCCCTTTCTGAGATAGTGGGTGAAAATTCACTTCGACACGCAGTCGTTCATACCAGCTAATGAACGCTGCCTACACTGCTGGTATTTTGCTCCCCCACGCCAACTCTACCCGGGAAGAGGAGGCACCCAACGCCGTGGGATGGAAGGAGTTTGGGTCGTGAGTGTTGATGTTGGGGCCAGGGCAGGAATATAGACACAAGTACATGCTAGGGCGAGCTCGGTTGGGAGGACGAAAAAGCATCTCGCTCGCAGGAGGAGTGAACAGTGACAAAATCGGAGCAGTCGAAAGCAGCACCAGACGAAGCACTGCATAAACAGGCTGGTGGCCGGAATCGGGTTGATGGTGCTGCTTATGATAGCATCTCTCCGGCCCTCCTGAAATGATTTACGTATGTTCAATAGTCATTTACCCTTCCTTCTGCTTATATGTATGTACAGTAGATTGGCCCACAATATGGTATCCACTCTTCTGCGGTAAAGGGACCTGGTCGCGCTGTATTTTTACCCCAGCGTATTGGACCCCAGGGGGCTCTCCGTCTCTCCACCACCTCATGAATTTGCCCCACCACTGGCCACTCACTGTAAACAAACTTAATGGGCCGACAACTCTGCCTCTGCGCGGTTTAGTATACCCCTGATCAGTGGCGCTCCGAATTCCCCAATTCATCACCTACATAGACACGCCAAGACAACGCGTCACCCCCGTTCTCTCTCTGCCAAGGGGTACACGATCTGAGGACTACAGTACATCAGCGCTTGATATCATACACACAATCCCTTTGAAGGTGAGTCTCTTCCGCAGCCCGCCTCTACTAGCCTACAGCAGAGATGATCGGTTCCTTCACTGGTCAAGCGATTGGCACGCACACGCCCACCTGTCAGACGTTGGTCGCGGGCAGGGTTCCGCATGTATTATGGGTTCTTGGGCGAACGACGGTCGGTGAGGCGAGGGCGAAACATTCGTCAGCGAGCAGGGCACGTCCACGAACGATAGAGCAATGATCGGTTGTACGGCCTGTATGTCCGGGTATGATTGAAACATCAATCGGTCCGTTTGATTCAAGCGTTCGCCGCTTGACTTTGAGAGGATTTTATCTCTTGTGGTTTGGTGCGTCGTCCGCGTGGACCTGGAGCGGATGTGCATAAAAGGGAGTTTTCGAGAAGGCAAGGGTCTATATTCACAGTTTCTTATCGCTACAGTGGTGACTTGCGTTTCCCACTTCTTTGTCGTCTACATCATTTCGCATTAATCGATTGTTATTTGCAGCTTGCACACGCGGATGATCTTTGGTAGCGCGATAAGACACGTGCGCGGCTTGTGGTGTTTGCCATGTTGCCCACAGTCTGTAGTGTTTACACAGATCGAACATTACAAATCAAGAGTCTCCGCACATTTTCTCTGGCTTCATAGTATCCTCTCTTGAGAGTCAGGGTGGCGGGTATTGACGCTCTTGGTATCACTTGCATTCTGGGGACCCTCATGAACTATTGGCCGAATCGTGAGCCAACTAGGAGAGTGGTCCGGTGCTGCCTAAGGGGGCCACAGGTGACTCCATCTATTTCTCCCCGGGTTCTCCCCATCGCTACAGTACCTTGTGTCATTGTTGGTATGGCGTCAATTTTACGTGTCCTTCGCTACTGTGCATTTTGCCTACTTTGAGACATGGCTTCGTCCGTCACCCCGTTGTGGGTTTCTTGATTGAGACAATGGTCATACTATCGCATGCTGACCAGGCAGTACAAGAAAGCGTCGGAGTGTACCGTCATCGAGGGAACCATTGGATGAATTGGATGGTTCTATTTAGTGTGAAGATCAGTCTTTGGACTCGGAACAAACATTGTCTACCGGCCGACAACCTTTTTTCGTGGCCTCCACGTTCAAAGGCTGTCCAAATGACCACGCTTCGTTCATCCAAACCAAACGCCAGATATCAAACGCTCGTTCGGGGGTCCATTCAACACATCCTCCGAAAAAGTATTCATTTCCCTTTCCAGGTTGGGCGTGTCGACCGCCGTGAACGGGTCTACTTACCCTGCCCCGAGTTAAATGGCGCGAACAACTTCACAAGACTGTAGGACTTCATTCCGTAGAAGCTGAGTTCGCTTGGATGCCTGGGCGGCTTCTTCGCTCGACCCCCCCTCCAACGACGCATTCACGATGCGAATAGAACGAAAAACACTAAAAACGCCAGACAACGGCTCCCAGAAAAACATTATACACCAATTGACTAGCACGGCATGCTCCTCTATGTAGTTAGACAAGAAAAACCATTGATACACAAGAAAAAACATTGATACGTCCTCTTGCAGAGACGGCCTTCTCAACAAATCCTTGATAACCTACCTCCACCATACACATTGATCGCCACAACCGAAAAAGGGTTTGGCGACTTTCACATAGCCGCCGTTTGGTGCTCAAGGACATTTTTCACCAACCTTTCAAGACTCGTCATGCGACCATTCAGACGGTCGTTCAGATCCTGAAGCTCGACATCCAGACGCTCGTTCAGACGCTGAAGCTCGATCTTGGTTGTTTTTTCCAGGCGGTTGCGCAGAAGTTTGATGTGCTCCACTGTGGCCCGTCTATCCTTTTCATCCTAGCGCACATATTCATCATCCACAGGGTCCTCGAGAAATTGACGGAGCTTGTCGGCGCTCTTTCCGGCGTCACTCTTCAGCAACATTCTCTCAATAGCAAGCCTCTCCACCGTAGGGGGGTATTCCTCGTCGGGGATACGACGACAAGAAGAAAGTACTTGGACAAAAAAAGCATCCAGCCACAAAACAGAGATACTGGAGCACCGATAACACACCAAACCAATATTTGAAAACACCGCCAACATATAGACCACCACCTCAAGCCAACCCACGAGGCGTTGTGTTGTTGTTTCAGCTCCTCCGCCTTGTACTGTTTGTACCACGCAAACTGCGCGTACGGAAACAATGGCAGACCCGAAACCATCCACAGCACCGCCCCTGCAGAAACAACTACCAGACCCAACACAAGCCAAAACACGAATTGCCCAAACGCCTTTCGAACGCATACGCAGGAACCCTTTGTCTGTTCCCAGCCCTCTTCCAGGGCGTTGATCCTCTGGGGCATTACAAACACCAACCAGCGGAGCATGACAACCGTCGACACGGCAACCGATAGGACGAGCTGCAACAAATTGAAGGGGGCGGGTAGCTCGTGGTGGTCTACGACCCACTGGTAGTGTTCTACGACACGCGCCTTCGACACTTTTACCTCCACTTTCACGTTGTCTTGGACCTCTGCATGCGACGTGCTCAGTATTGCTACTAAGAGATTGAGGAGCTAGACCGTGACGACGAATAGGTAAACCACAAACAGAATGGTTGCCACACTGTCATACCGTCCGCCGGCGAACGTCTCGAAGAAGTCGACCTCGCCAAGCATTGCCCGAAAAAGGCCGAGGAATGTCATACCAAAGCTATCGAAGTCGCGAAAGAGGACGTGGAAGGCCATCGCGAACCCAGTCATGACGACCACCATCACGAACCCGAACTTGAGCAGAGTTGTCGTCATGCGGGATATCACCTGTGTGCGATAAGGGGGCAGAACAGGTCCCAATCCATAACCGGCGTTTGCACCTTTTGGAAACACTCTGGGTCAGTCGTTGAACCTAAATAGGCTGAATTTCTCGAACTGGCAAATGCAAAGTGACAGGCTGCATACAAGCAGAGCTGCTGACGAGGCCTGTTTCGCGAAGAAATCCGCAAGTCGCATGGGCACCTTAGCAATCAGTACTTGTTCTGGGATCAGCACGAAAGGCACGCCGGTGTTCCTCGAAACCTATTTACCTTGATCATGGGGCCCTGAAAAGGAAGAACCTGGGCGAAGAAGAGAACACTACAAACCAATAGCGGAGCACTCAGCGCGTAGAATGCAGGCCCCCATGGACTAGTCCAATCGACGCCTCTGATGACCAACCCAACGGACAGGCACAGGAGAGCGAGCGCGTCCAGGACATTCCACTGGTCTTTGAAGTACTTGTCGATGCCCATCGACATTTCGAGCCCTTCACGGTATACTCCAGCCTGAACAAACAACACATCGGAACACAACACGGTCGGCAGAAAAGCGTGCGTGAGCAAGCACATAAGCATGTGTCCTGTCACCGAGGAAGGCCAGAAACGTGTGGATAAGATGTCCCAACGCTAACCGTGGTCGACACACGCATTCCTTGGCCATGTGGCGACCTCAACCGGGAGCACACTTGATAAGTCACATTTGTATTGTGTACGACAAGACACAACGAGAATCGATACGTCGCGCTCTTCTTGAGGATACAGTAGTACACGCCCGATTCCAGAGCATGGCTGCAGTTCAGGATCATGAGTGGTCAAACAGAAGAACTTGAGCCCGACCCCATGTTGATATCTATACAATACGAAGTACCAGGCAAATCATATATCACCAGCTGTTGATGCAACAGCAGTGATACCCGTGTGATAAACCTATCCATTAGTCCGCAGGTATGAGGCTTTGCGCAAAACGGGTTATATGCAGTAGTGCAGGCGCTTTCTACCGTAGGGCCTGTTGTGTCTGCATTTACATGCACTCACCGAAATGAATATGGCCGCGAAGGAACCTTCTCCCCAGGTAAATTCCACATTCGAGATACCGTCATCTCCAAGTACACCTCCGGTTGGGCTGTGGAAGAAGACGAGATAGCCCAACGCTGCAATTATTTCGACATATGCGACGAAGTCCAGCAACATTCTCATGGCCGGAACCCGATAGTAGGTGCTGGGATCCGCTGCCACGCCAGCAACAGCGAACTGTGCCCCCGGGAAAAACGCTAGGTTTGGGAGATCGTCCTGTGCTGCCTGTAGCAGTACAGACAAGCGGGACAAGATGCTCTTGCACCCGCTGGGGACATCTTCTCCACCATCACCAAGAACGAGGCCGGCACCGAGACACTTCAAATCCTCCGAGTTCCTCAACACCCCTTCGGTGTCCTGCAGGTCCGGTAGACCCCACGCGAACCTTCGCGATAAGAAATCCATCACCAGAGGTACGTTGCAAAATGTGTTCATCTGCTCTTGTTTCGAGAGAATCATGTTGACAGGGCGTTCGAAGCCTAGGGGATGGTGGCCTCCCAAAATTTGCGGCTCGAACATGCCGGTGCAGCCACCCTTCGTCTCTTCGTCGAACGCGCGGACCGTTCGAGGGAGGCGCTCGAATATTTCGAGCAATAACGCCTCAACGCTAGCCCGGATCTCGTCGATGTGTCTTTGTTCTCCCTCGTTCGCCTCTTTCGCAGCTTCGGCAAGCCTAATAGAAAGCAATAAGCCCGGCATGAAGGGGTTGGCCGCAGTTGTCACTGCCCGCAAGCAGCAGTTCTTGAATCCGTCCCTAGACTTGTGGTGTTTGGAGAGTTTTTTCAAATCGCTTGCGGATGGTCTCGCAGAACTCGCCATCAGAAATGATAGGGTGTTGAAACCTATATCAACATCCTCGGGATGAGCATTGAGGAGGTCCTCTACACAGGCCTCAAACAGAGCGTCCAACCGGGAGCACGGCTCGTCAGCCACCTGCATGTTGGCCATGTTTAGAAGGGAGGGCCGTGCAAAGGTAAACGAATAAACGAGGAAATGGACGCGGCAATTTGTGAATAACGCTCATTTCGGATGAAACTAGACGATCGGATATGCCCGGCCGTTTCGTACTTTCAGGAAGAGCACGACCGTCATTCTGTCAGAATAACAGGCAAAATGGTCTCGAATGTGCCAACATCCCTTGAGAACAACGTCAGAAGGTCTTAAGCTCATCACACAAACTAGACTTGCGAACTTGCACTGTGGGGCCTCAAACAACGTAATATGATTGAGCCCTTTGCGCGAGGGTTCTCCTGGTCATGATTACGTGTCCGTCGCGGGTAGTAAGTGGTGCCAGGAGGCCGTTGCGATGCGACCCTCGGTGACCCCCGGATCCCGAATGGTGAAGAACAAGATACACAAATCCTTGGATTTCGTCCGTAATCTCGGTAGACTTGCGTCCAAGGTTTCAGGATCCAATTCCAAAGAACCGGGTGACCGAAATTCGTGAGGCATGCAGTACGTTGTGTGCGCATGCTCTGGACCGACTGGAACAGATACACCAACCTCATCGAAACAAGGGCTAAGCCCTGCGCACGCTGTTTCAGAGTTGGGCTTGAACCAATTTGGTGAGACAAAAGCTAAGGTAATATAAACGCCAACATATTGAGGTGAAACGACGACATCAGCTCCTTAGACCATTGCCTGTTACTTCATGTATCGAGCGTCCAACACGCGCAGTAGCCCATGGTCTTGAAGCGCCCGCCGCAAAAATGGACTCGTAGTCCCTACTAGCTGATACGACAGACACACACAGGTTTCATGGCAATTGAGGGTTGTAGGACGCAGAGATTACGTGCGTAAATGCCCCTTACCTACGGGTGTATCCGTAGTGTCCTCACCACATGGTCTACATTCCAACAGAACCATCACCGCCGCGAGCCTGCGATGTTCGTCTGCTAGTGGCCTTCACTGATGCTAGCGTTCAACCGAGAACATGCCTGTTCTCTTGGCGTGTTCCAAAACGCGAAGCGATCGATGGATAGCAGGTGTATTTCGAAAAGAGATATATTTTCTACCATTGAGCTGGCCCTTGATCGTGTCGTACCTTGGGTACATTGATCAATGATCTTAAGGGTCTGAATATATCAAAGGGAGAGTAGTTTTGGTTTAGTCGCAGGAGATAATCACTGGGATTTAGATTGTTGCCTCGTATGGAAATACTGTGAAGGCTCTCCCAACGCCGTTCTTCGAGCGTTTTTTCTCGCACTCCGTGCACCGATACGTGTGGTAGCATTGAATTAACCCCGAATAAGGTTGGGATCCTAGGTGAGCACCTGATAGCGGTGCACTGACGGGACAACTCTCGTCACTGATTAAAAAAATCCGAAATGTCCGGGTTCCAGAGACTTCGACCACAGCGGGCGGCTGAACGCGTACGGTGCCGAGAAGAGCAACGTTCGTCCATCCTTGATGACGAGTTCCAGGAGCACACACAGCTGAGGATAACAAGCGGGAGAGGAGCTTATTGATAAGGCAGGGTCACATATCATTTCAGACAGTACGGTGTTCGTGTAAGGTGCGTGAAAATGCACCACACAGGCCAGTCACAACCCCCTTCGCCAGGTTATTACGTTCGGTTTTCAACGCCTTTTTGTCCAAGGAATGTGTACCACTCTGTCCTACTTGCATTTCCAACACGTGTATCTCGTCATAACACCATACGCCAATTTTTGCAGACGACCGAGACGTGACATGGATTCGAGACGACGATAGGACATGCTTACGTACCTCGTGGTGACCGAGATACTCCAAAGCATAGTCCAGCGTGGCTTCAAACATGTTAACGCTCTCGCTGCGGACTGCTGCCGATAACAACGTTGCCCCGTCTGTACCCTGAGACTCGATCAACAGCCATAGCTGGGGGGAGTATGCCACGCGACATAGACCTCGGTCGTACCTACGTTCGTGCAGATATTGTGTGTGTACACCCGCGAAACAATTCTTCCCACTTCTAAGTGCGACCCAGATGCTACCTGAACGGGCAGGACCTCCTCCCACAGAAGTAGGTACTTTTACGTGAGGCGCTGTGGACGCCATCACATCTAACGTGCGACCCGGCACGACACGTGGGCCCATTTGCGCGGCGGCCTCGCACCACCCTCGCCTGTCGCCTTGAACACGATTTTCAACGCGGCTGCGGTCGGCCCAGGTACTGGGCTTGAACATCTCTTTGAAACATGCATGGTGCCACATGTCACGACAAGCTACCCAGGGTACAAAATACAAGCCTGCCATCCGAAAGATACACTTCAAAGGTATTCCGCCACAAACGTGTCGCACCTGCTCTTGGTTGAGGTACTCCTTGGCTACATTGAAGACAGCGTGGCAAGTGTCTTCGCTGTGGCTCGAAACTGCCGCCGTAAGTATCGTGTGTCCGAGTTGGTCTTTCGCCGATAGCATTTTAGCAAACTGATGTGGACGGCCGAAAGCGGGAGCATAGCAATGTTGCCTTCATCCACGGAAGAGAGCTGCGACACCTTGTCCTACGGCAAGAAAGTGAGACTCGTCCAATTCTTCAAATGGGCCATCCTTTAACGGCTACGGTCTGAATCATGAGCTCTCGGCCAGAGAGAAGCCAATCGTTGTGGACGAACGGCGCTTAGCAGAATTGTGACCGCAATATGCATGGTCTAGGATCGTTTCGAGCAGCTTGCTGCTCCCGCTTGAAAGTACTGCCGGTAAAAGCGTTTCCCCTTCTCTATTTTTCGATTCGGATTAACAATCACGGCTGGGAGGAACCAGTACACAATCCACAAAAGGGCAGTTCATCAGAAAAACCTTGCGCGTGTAACCGGCGAATCTGTATTAACTTGCTACCTCGAAGTGGGACCAACAACACGTATGTATACTACCAGATTGGGTCAAGACTTCTCCCAGAGTAATACCACAGCAGGCGTCAAGCACTACATGTTCTGTGTAGTCCAGACTATGTTTATACTCCGTGTTTCCGTGAGACTTTGTTTATACTCCGTGTGCGGTCCGTCGTGATACGTAGAACCTTTCCTTGGCGAACTCCCATCTACCTTGCCTTTTCTTGCTACTGTTTTTCATCGTGGTTGTGGTCGGCTTTTCGCGCTGGGCCTCATGTTCCACCGTTTCAAACATGGATGGCGTTCTCGAACTTTAGGTAGTTGGCTTGTGATCACCAAATCGTCTGCGTCAGTTGGGCCACTACGGATATTAGAAGGTTCCAGGCGGAGACCGGAACGGTTTTCAATAGGAAGACAACAACAACAACAATGGTGCACGATGATACGACAAAACACCCAGAGCACAAACAGGAAGCCTGCTGACCGAAGGGAAATCTTTGCAACTACTTTGGCACAAACCATCTCGTACCTGCCCACGGTGGAGGTACCTCTTGGCTGCATTGAAGACAGCCTCGAAAGTGCCCACGCTCTTGCTCGACACTGCCGCCGTAAGTATCGTGTGTCCAAGTTGATCTGTTGCCGTCAACATTTCAAGAATCTGATGTGGGCGGCCCAAAGCAGGAGCATGAAAAGATGTTCAGCGTTAGTCCCATCGACGAGATGGGGCCACGGTTGTCCGGCGTCACGAAGAAGGGGACGGGACTCGTGCAAGTGTTCAAAACACCAGCGCTGACGACTACACGCGTTCACACAAACAAATATTCGCTGCGGAGAAGTTTAGCCTACACAAATTCAAGATTACAAACATCACCATTGGAAGTGCCAACGAGAACAAGACCCATATATGAGATGTAGCGCTGTGTTGAAGATACGAATGGAGCACAAAACGAGGCGCACTGAAAGATGAGCAATTGTTTTGTTTACCCCCAAGAGGTTTGGTTGGATCCAACCGGGAGTCGCTTCCAAGAACTCTTGAATATGAGTAGGGGTTGCCGGCTCGAAACAACATCCCCCCTTGGTGCATCATTGGTGCATGCCACGAGCTCTGTGTAAAGCGAGTGGAAGTTGTCTTTGCCACTGAAGACGTTGAAAGGACTCCACAGTGGGCTCAGGAGCTCTACCGCAAACGCTTGAGGTGCAGGAGGGGCCAGTTGCCTCGGGAAAAGAGGATTCTCTTCGATATCTTGGACGCGCAGACGACGAATGCGTTCGTAACGTCTTGCAAAGCATTGCATTACGCTCGCATGGTTATTTCCGGGGAATACCACGGACGAGCTGAAGCCTGTTGATCAGGTCTCCGGCGTGATGCTAAAGGTGGAGGCTGGAAGATTTTTTTTCTTTGCTCAGGCAGTTGGACGACCTCGTAAGGAGAGTAAGCAACACGTTGGCAGGGTCTGATCAACGTGTGCGTATAACGCAATGGGTGGGGGCAGCCATGGAATTTTTCGGCAATCATCGGGATTGCCGGTCGTCTTTTCAAGATTGCGTGGCATGGCGATGACCGTGGGTGGTTCAGGTGACGATAGAATGACGTTGGAGGGATACCATAACCCTTTCACGTTCATAAACGCTGAAGACTCCAGCCACAAGTATGGAGTTTCAGAGATTGGCGATGAGGAGGATGCCCAAAGGGTTGAGGGGGGGGTAAAGGACTTGAGAGGTAGGGGCTAGGGGGAAAATCGCGGGCAGGGCATGGAGGGCGGTGGTTCCACCGAAGAAGACCATAAAGGCAAGATACTGCGGAATAGTTGTCGACGATGTAGAGTTTGGGATGAAATGAGGCCTCCTGCTACGAAAAGCCTGGAGACTCCACCCAGGGTTACTACCCCCGTGTTGACGTCCCTCGTGTCGTCAACGCGGCAGTCGCGCAGAGAGTAATTACCCCAGTAAATAAAATCAAATACAGCGTAGTTGGGCGGGTGGGACGGCTGTTATTCTTACCGTACTTTTCCCTCCGTTAGGGTTGGGAAGGCTTGTCACGAGTGGGCGCTCTCTTCAAGCCTTTGTCGCAGTAGCAGATCATCTGTTCTCATCCACGGAACCCCTTCGTGGTTCCATGATTTCGACATTATTTTACTGCGGAATAGTTGTCGACGATGTAGAGTTTGGGATGAAATGAGGCCTCCTGCCACGGCATGGGACCCACCCATACTTCATGTTTTGACCTGTGTTATCATTCCCTGTCGTTGCCTGAATTGATCCCCACACTTCTCCATCGACGACCCCGCTACCGTAAGTCATTGCTCTTCATTATCCGAAAGCCGAAAAACGTTCAGTAAAGCCTTCTTGCAACGGGAGATCGACGGTCTCCATGTACAACCGTTCCTGCTCCTGTTGGCTCTGGGTTCGCCTTCGCTTAGCTGCGACTTCTCCCCCTTGGATCGTGGGCCCTACATATCGCTGTGCCACCCCCCGCGTCTTCCATCCCACAAAATCCATGAGGACTTCTACCGCCGTCCCCGCTAGCGTTTGGCTTACCGCTCCTCCTACCCGGAACGAGTGCATGGTATACTGGCCGCCTGCATCGCCCAGGCGACCGTTCCGAATATGGGCTTGTAACGAGGCGGTCATACGCGCCGCCGACCACTGTGACGACCCCCGCGAACCGTCGGCGTTGACCTCGGGAAATAGGTACCCCTCCCGCATGTTCCATCCTGCTGACTTAGCTGCTATGCCAAACTCTTGTATCGCCCGCAACGGGCATAGCTCGGTACATTGACGATCTCGTCGAACTACTACCGCGTGCGACGAGCTTCGGAGGGTCTTGCCGAAATGAAAATTGAAAATCATCCCCGTTCCGTCAGGAAGGTGCAAGACTTGTGCCGCCAACGCGCACGCCAAATCGAATCCTCGTTGCATCGTGTGGAAGGCGGTGACAAACAGCGCAATGTCTCGGCTACGGGCTACCCGCGCGCCCACAGTATGCAAGTGACTCGCGGTGTTGCGCATGTATCGCACCAGACGTAGAAGTAGCGGGGCTAGCATCGGTCGGGCTTGCTTGACGGTAACCCCCACCCTGCGCTGTTCTACTTGAACCCACGACAGGTATTTCCGAACCGCCGTGCTGTCGGCTGCGTTACCTCTCTTCTCACGCTCATCTCATGGGTCCGACTTCCCCAGAATCTCAGACATCGCGCACTTGAGTTTCGACACAAACGCTTTGTCTAGTGTTTGAGCAGCGTACCGTTTAGCGCAGGCACTCTCCTTCCTGCACGCTGCCAGTGAATTGGACCCGATGTCGGGGCAGTCTACCGCATGAACCACCTTCGTACCGTTACCGTGAGAATCTAGCCAGCAGAGCCAATCCTGCACGTCGATATCGGTAGCGTTTTCCCATCCCCTCATCCCGTCCGTGTGCGCTCGGAGAAATGCGTCAAACTTGTCTGCCACCGCGCATTTGCGTTGCTGACTGGCCTTACTACTCAACGAGGCTAAGACGGTCTCTTTCCGCGCTGCCAACCGGGTTTTATCGATAACCACGGTCGCGTCGGGCGCCCGAGGCTCTAAAAGCCCCCGAAACGGTGGAGTACCACAATGTTGGCAGAAGTTGAATGTGGCATCGTTCTGGGCCCCACACGTACTACACAAGACTTGCGGTATCCGGTCCTGTACTCGCGTAGATCCGGAGGGGACCCGCTCGAGGGTCCCCGCCGCATAATGCTGATGATAGGACAGACACAGCGAAACGAACGCGAACCAGGAGAGGGGCGACTATAAACACCGTATCATGTATCTCGAAAATCCAATTCCACCGCACGCATTCCGTGTCGCACGTAAATGTAATCGCGAACGCCGTCCTGATGGTGGGGGTATGCAAAACTCCCCGTCCGCGGTATCGCTAGCGATTTGACGGCGGCCCTTGCGGCCCGCGGCCACCAAAAATCTCGTACATCTGGCACTTGTACTACTGGGTGAGCCCGACACTCGGACAGATGTTGAATAATGTGCCCCGCCATGACCGGCGGCGGGAAACAATACCCAAAGGCCGGCGTGCCCAGCCCTGGTGTAACCGCTACATCCTGGCTAAAGACGTCTATTCCGGCCGTGCCTTCGCAGTGATACCGTGAGAAAAACGGCAGGCGGGACGGTCCCCCGGCTCCCCCCGCATCGGTACGCTGAGCATTCTCGGAAGACGCCATAAGATCGACCGTAAATTCTCCGAAAAACTCTCGCAGCTGCCTAAACACGCGTGATCGAAGGCGGATAATTTCGTGCCGGGCCGGTCTTGTGATGTCGTCGGCGACACTATTCGCCGCTGACGGTACCCACCTCAATGTGAGCCAAAATCCGTGTGCGATTTGCAGCTCGTAAAGGCTAACCAGCATCGAGTGTGTGATGGGGTTTCTCGATCTGCCCTTCCTAAACGCGTCGACAACTGCTCTATTGTCGACATCCATCAGAACTTGTGCTCGCTTAAGTTCGCCCGGCCGAGCGCTACAACCTTCCTTCAGCACCTCGAGCAACGCGAACATCTCCTTGCCATTAATGGAACGCGACAGCCATTCGTCGGGAAAGCCGCCGCCTGCGGAGAATGTGCCACTCGGCAGCGACACTACTCCACCATATTGGTTGGATGATGCGTCTGACGAAGCGGTGGTGAGAGAAACGTCGTAGTGTCTCGCTTTGTACCACGGTCCCTCCTGAGCGGTCGATGACAGGTTGAGCCAAATGCGTAGCTCTGCGCGGAGGTCGTGTTTGTCCCTCAACTGAATGACTCGACCCTTAGCCTTCCTGATCGCCGCGAACATGTAATGAGTCCAAAGGGTGGCCGGTCGAATCGCGACAGACATGCTGACGCACTTGCCGGCTATCTTCTCGAGCATGCGCACGGGCACAGAGTCGTTCGCAAGCGCTTGGTCGATGAGCTGATGGAGTTTGAGCAACTTATCCTCCGGGATGCGGAACGATGCGGTGTGGTAATCGCAGATAATTCCGAGGTACCGCTGTTGTCGAGAGGGGTTGAGGTCGCATTTATTGATGGACAGGAAATACCCGCATCGGTACGATACTAGGATGCCGGTGTGTAGAGCTTCCGCCGCCGACAGCCACTGTACTCGATCCGACTTCCCGAAGGTATCGACGAAGTTCGCGTACCAGGCGTCATCGATATACGCCAGGACGGGGATGCCCTTGGACCGCAGGTACGCGGCTTACTTCGCTCAAAGAATGGTAACAAAACGGACTCTCGTTCCACCCAAATGGAAGGGTGGTACAGACGTAATCCACTCCATCGTAGTGGACGCCGAATAGCGGCCAGCTCTCGGGCTGCAGGCGAAGATTATGGAAACCCGCGCGGTCGTCTAGGCTCCCCATGAACACCCCTTCTTCTGCTACGTGTGCCACCCGTGAGACCGTGTCCATCGTAAACGGTACGTGTTTGCAGCAGGTATTCAGGGGGATACCGTTTATAATCATACGGGGTTTGGTTGGCTCCACCTTTGATGGACAGGACCAACCGCGGTCTATCCGGGCCCTCCGGTCCTCGGACGTCCTCCCACCGAACTAAACATCCCCGCTTGTCCAGCGCTTGCACCTCCCGCCGCACAAATTCGGCATGTTCGTCGGGAATGTGGTTGGGGAATACGGCCC